TTCTCATGACCTTTTATCAACGATTATCGGAAACCTCAGAGACCTAATTAATATGCAGGTATGGCGCCTGTATTTGCCCGACGGGGAGGGGGTCCGAGGTCCCCGACGGGGTGGGGGAGGGGGAGATGCCCCGACGAGGGGGCAGATTTCCTGGACAAGAGCTAAGTGGGCGTGGTCAAACGTCGCTTAAAATATCTTAAAAGTCGGGGAAGAAGCCCGGACATTTTGACAATTTAGAGGTTTCAAAGGCTTATTCGATTTTTTAAAAATGAAGCGCCAGAAAGTCCCTTAATCAGGGATTTTCGGAAATCACAGAGATCCAATTAATATGAGTGATGTACCATAGAAAATAAAACTAAAGAAACACTTTCTTTGATGTATTTAATTTACTTTTTTTCTTTTTTCCCTGTTGCTGACCACTTTAATTCACTAAACCATTATATCAGTGATTTGTGCTCTTTAATCGTATGTAACGATTTCAAATCGGCTAAGGTTTGTAGATGTGCTGAGATTCGTTGGATCCTCGGTCCCAAATCTCATAATAATGGTTTAAACAAAGATTTAGGCTTTATGAGCGAACATTCTTTTTTTTTTCTCTTTCTTTTGTGGGAATCGCCCACTTTTATTTCAATACTTTTTCATTTAACACAAATACAGGAATTTGTACAAAATGACGCTCGGGTTGTAGAAGCCCTTAGATACACAGATATCATTTTCAAAAGAGCTTACAGTTTCTCATTATTATTATTATTATTTTTTCATTTTTATATTTTTGATCCTTTTGTTAAACATTATGTCATAATCATAATAATATAAATTTAGTATACATCACATATAGCACATCATAATTCTTTATGCATATTTGTCTTGTAAATTTCAGCAATACATACACTTTTTGTTCAAAATACGGGATTTTTTTTTGGATTTTTGTAACTTGTACTATTTTAACACATCAATTTATGTTTATAAAGAAATAAACAAAAACCAAAGCACAACAAAAATTACCTGACAATAACAACATAAATAAAGCTTTCCCAAATTTCTGAAAGTCAAAATTTGACCACTTTTTTTGGCTTTTTCTTTGTTTGTTAAAAACTCACAAGTGACAAAACTTAAACTCAAATGTAAACATTGTCCAAGGACATTTCTTCCCTAGATTTAGTCTATACATCACTTTACATTTAAATATACAAAAAGTTAAAATTGAAACTAACACATTTGTCTTCTTATCACAGCTTGCAAGTACGATATCCATCAAGTTTACTTTATCAGGCTTCTTTAGGCACAATTGTAACATAATATGGAATTTTTTCCAACATGAATCATTTTCTTTACAGTTTAACAACATATGTTTTTCATTTTCTATTTCGTTACATGCTTCGCAGAAGTCTGTGTTTGACAGGTTTCATATCTTTTGCCGACTTTTCGTTGGCAAGATTTTGTATAATAATTTATAATTAAATTGAGCAACCTTTTTAATATGTAGCATTGAGTGTACTTTCTCTTTCCAACAATGTTCCCAGTTAATTGAATTGTTTTGTAATTCATTTTCCCATTTGATTTGAACATTCGGTATGCTATATATTAGTTTTAAAAATGATGTGTAGAATTTTTTAACATTTTGTTTCTTCAAAATAATGTCATAATTTGTTTTACAATCGTTCCCAAATTTCTGAAAGTCAAAATTTGACCACTTTTTTTTGGCTTTTTCTTTGTTTGTTAAAAACTCACAAGTGACAAGACTTTTAAACTAAGATGTAAACATTGTCCAAGGACATTTCTTCCCAAGATTTAGTCTATACATCACTTTACATTTAAATATACAAAAAGTTAAAATTGAAACTAACTCATTTGTCTTCTTATCACACGATACGATATTCATCCATTTTACTTTATCAGGCTTCTTTAGGCACGATTGTAACATAATATGGGTTTAACAGCATATGTTTTTCATTTTCTATTTCGTTACATGCTTCGCAGAAGTCTGTGTTTGAGAGGTTCCATAATCTTTTGCCGACTTTTCGTTCTCAAGATTCTGTGTAATAATTTATAATTAAATTGAGCAACCTTTTTAATATGTAGCATTGAGTGTACTTTCTCTTTCCAACAATGTTCCCAGTTAATTGAATTGTTTTGTAATTCATTTTCCCATTTGATTTGAACATTTGGTATGCTATACATTGGTTTTAAAAATAATGTGTAGAATTTTTTAACTTTTTGTTTCTTCAAAATAATGTCATAATTTGTTTTACAATCGTTTTCTCTGTGTGTTAAACAGTAGGGATTATATTTGATAATATTTTTCCAACTATTTGGAATGGCTGCATTTAATTTTGTATGCTCAATTAAAGCGTTGTGTGTTTTTGAGAGAGATGAATTATTTCGTTCACCTGCTTAATTCTATCATTTACAATGATGTCACCTACATTTTGTATATTTGACTCAATCCAAAATTTATTAAAAAGAGATTTATTGTTTACAGTAATATTCTTATTTTCCCAAATTCATTGTAGTTTTACCTCACATATGCAATGCGGTTGGAGTTCCTGAATGTTATTATAACGGATACACGTATCAATAAAATTCCTATAGAATATTGGTAATTTATTCAATGAAGCATGTTCCTCTAAGTTAACCTTTGACATACATACTGTATACTCAATAGGATGCATATAAAATAATGGAATACATTTCCATTTGCCTGGATCAGGACTTAATATCCTTTTTATCCAACTTAGCTGAAGTGAATCAACCAACGAGTTAATATCTATCATTTTCAAACCTCCTAGATTGATGTCTTGAACTATTATATTTCTCTTTATTTTATCTTTTTTCCCACTCCATAAGAAATTATATAGAATCTTATTTATTTTGGGAATAATATCTTTTGGAACATCAATAATGCATTTAATTTACATTACCTATATTCAAAACGGAGAGTCCACACCCATCTCAGCCCCACCATAGTTGGGGCTGACGTGGTAAAATTTGGGGAATTAGTACCTATAGATTGCCGGATATGACACTTTTTAAAAATTTATCATCATGGATCTAATTAATTAATAGAAAATAAAACAGAGCAAGGATTGCTGTAGTGAAAGCTGTAGCGACTGTGTAGCGATTCTATGAAAGCAGTCTTTACTTTACCTAGGTCTACTTCATGTGCCGAAACTAATCTTATCTTTACAAACATTTTCCTATACCGGTATGTTGCTATAATAAGATGTACTCTGGCTTTACAGCGCTCTATCGTTAAAACATGGGTGGTTTATGCAGTTTATTTTAACAATTTTCAGGCATCTTCTTGACTTATGAAATTGCTTTGCGTACGAAAAGTTAGGGGGACCATCGGGAAGATAAACCCAATTTGTCGGTGAGAAATAAAATTGTATGTATTTTCTACATCCCATATTAGTAGGCTCTAAAGGCTATTAAATAAGTCTTTGAAACCCCTAATTGACCACTTTCGAAAAATTTTGAGCGACGCCTGACCATGCCTAATTTGCTCTCATCGGGAACCTTGGCCCCTCTTTGGATCCAAGGCATTCCAAGAACGGAAATGACCATCGTAGAGGGAAGAAAATCTCTGCGCAAAAACATAGAAAAACGGTATATAAAAAGAAAGAAAGAAAAAACAATAGCTTTTTCTGGTGCTGGTAAAAGGGTGGTGGGGGGGGGGGAGGAAACACCAATGGTTACCGCTGGTTTTTGCACTAAATATAACAAAAAACCTACAGAAAATCGAATGATGACAAAAAAATGACGACGGTTGTGTTTACGACGATAATGATTATGATGATAATGAAGACGATGATGATAATTAGGAATAATTATAATGATAACTATAATAACAATGATAATAAACTGAAAGTATTAATCAGTACACATGATAATAATTAAACGCAAGCAGATTATTAATTTCAATATAATATTTTTTTTTAATGAGAACTTGTATACTTGATTGGTATATTATAACTGGACGCAATGTTCTCGGAAAGCTGCCCTTTGTGGCAGTGTGTGCGCAGCTCTTTGAGAGGTCGATCTTTTATGCTGATTCTGCTGCTTTTGAAATTTGTATTTTTTTTTATTGTAATATTTTTTATATCCCTCATTCTATTTCGAAATTTGTATATAATATTTATCCCTCATTTTTGTTATTTTTTATTACTTAATATTTTTTTTTACCAATCTCAGACTCCCTGTGTCTTGCTCTCTTTTTAAATATGTTTGATTGTCCTTTTATATGATTGTCTTTTTATTAGATTGTCTTTTGCAATATGTAAATCCCGAGCAATTAAGATTTTACTGTGATTTGTCGATACTTTGAAATAAAGAAATGAACAAATAAATAAAGAGATGGGATTTGAGACCCTGTAATTATGGGGTGGGATGTTCTTGGATTTAAAGATTGTGTGCCTTCTAATGGATCAAGTGATATCTGTTTGGCGCGGATGAAGTAGAGAGTACGGAGGGCACGTGCAACCCCACACCACACCCCCACCCCGTTTTTCCAATAAATTTTTAAAATTTCAATGCATAACGATGTTAGGTATTAAAATAAATGATACTCAATCATCTATTCTGAAAAAAAAAGATATTTTATATATATATATATATATATATATATAAATATATAAACTCAAAACCCACCTTTTTAACATCTGAACATGCACAGCGCCTTTGATTTTTACTTCGGTTTAGTGATATTGGCGCTTTATAAATTATTATTATTATTATTATTATTATTATAATATTATTATTATTATTTTTATTATTTTATATATATATTATTATGCATATATTATTTTATATACATTAATATAATTATATTATTATATTATTTTTTTATATATATTATTATATATAAATTATTATATATTTTAGTTTATATATATATGTATATGTATATATGTATTATATATATGTATATATATGTATATGTGCGTTTGTAAGGGGGTAGTAGAGAGTATTTACTATTCATTTAATTCAATCTAACTCACCAAACCAAAAAATATACAAATCATCTGGACAACGTCGGTGTAAGCCACTGAATACAGACCTCCAAACAATGTATAGGACATGGCTATACATGCTGAGACAATGATGGCCGGAGTTGTGTCTATATCTAGAATTACACTGAAAGTTGATCCTAAAATATAAAAATGAAACTGTAAAATTAAAATATTAAATAAATTTAAAATCGAAACTCAGTTATTAGTTCATCTTATATGTTGTTTCGGTAGTATTTTTTCACTGGTGTTTCATAATTCTGTGAAAATTGTCTTTGTTTTGTTTATTATTGTCACTCAATTTGGTAATGGAACATTGTTTCTCTTTAGCAAATTTGCCCATTGCATACGTACCGGTATGTGTAATAAATTATTTGGTCGACCGGTGGATTTTTTGTTAGTTTGATTGGTTGATTAATAATTACCTAAAGCTGAAAGAATGGCACTGCAGTAGAACAGCTCTCCAGATAAAGCTTGTATAGACAGGAGTCCACACATCATTGGGCCAAACTTCAATTGGAAAGGGTCCAACATTGTTACATAATCTTGCTCTCTCATTTTTTTCGCAAAAAATAGTCCATCTTAAACGAAAACCCACATAGATTATACTGATCAATACAAAATTAGGTATAGTAAACTGGCATTGTGTGAATCAGACACTGTGCAACACAAAATCTAAAATGAAAAGTGAAGCCTTTCTGTCCTTGACGAGTTACATCTCCTGATTCGGCAGGTCCGTAGGCAGGGGCTTAAAACCTGTTATTTCACTAAAATTGTTCCCAGTTATCGAGAAATGCTATGGATCATTGGATTTCGTTTGCTAGCTCTTCCTAACCGTTTATTTTTAATAAATGTGGTACGAAATTTGATCGCAGATTCATCCATATGAACAAAATGTTACCGACATAATGGACATAACGTTACTTCTTCAGATCCCCAACAACACCCAAAGCAATGGACATTTAAATGGATTATTCTACGAATTACCAGAATTCAATTAAAAGCCCTAAAAATACTACTTTGTCGGAGCTTCCGGGAGCTTTTCCCTCCTAAGGATCACTTTGCTTGCAAACGCAACCCCCCACCTATCGAAAACCCTGGCTACGGTACGTGAGACATATTTTGCAAAAATGTTTTTTTCAGCCCCACCCCTCCCCCGCACCCCAAAAGGGAGAAATAATATAGGCTAATAGTAACTGATCATATTACTTCAGTCGATGGCAAGGTGTTTTTAAACGGTGGTGCTACATGCAGAATTAGTGATATTTCCACCCATTTTATTGTTTTGTCCACCTCTCAGTTTTTCTAGATGAAAATACAACCCAATTATCACTCATTCTCTTCACAATCTATCCATTCTATTATCAACTAAAATTATATGTATTGGTCTTTTGTAATGTAAAGTAGAGTATAAAACTTTGATAACCTTTCTAGATTAGCCTCCAATTTTACCTTTACCTTTACTTTAATAATTAAAAATTGATTTTTAAATTTTCGCATTTAATTGGGAAATGGAAATACACATTGCATATGACAACACTTCAACTTTTTGTATAATTACAGTACCGTTTTACTAATAAGGTTATGTTGGCTGACAGTTTGCGTCTAATTATCATTGCTTCTCTAAGGAAATTCTTTTCCTCTACTTTTTGCCACCCCATTTTATTCTGGTACCGGTGATGTCTTTGAAGAAGACGAATATTTTTATTACGCCTGCTGTACCACCAATAAAAAAAAAACTTAAGAAAAATAATGAAATTTCATTCTTACTTATAAATAGACTACACGCGTACGCAAATGGGGCCTGCGTCCACAACAACCCCGACTCATACACTGATTGACCAGTCCCGTTGATGAAACCACCGCCGATCCAAGTAGCTGCAGACGTACAAATAATTTTAGATATAATTATACAAAAAAAAAATGCTCGGTAACAGAATACTACTTGATTAGAGATTAGACAAAGAACGAAATAAGGCGGCCAAAAAATGTTGTGTTGACCACCCACACTCGCTTTAAGCTGAGGATGAAAATTGTAGACGCGAGTTGTAGTTCAAATAAGCTATCTTGTACTTACCATACACGCTTGACATTTCTATAAGATTATTTGGTTGAACCAAATAGTACATTAGCAACGGTTTCAGCAGCTGTTGTGGCTAGGTAATCAACTAATTGAAATGTTCTACTTATGGAACTTTATAAGGACATTTATATGTTTTCTAAATATCGTAAATATTGTAAATAAAAACAAAATCATGCCTGTTTTAATTACCAGTTTATTATTTCAAACAACACATAGCATTTTGTAACCCAGGTTTCATCCGAAATATATATCTATTCTTAACAAATAAATATGATGGAAACAATAAAACAATAACAAAGTAATTAACAATTTAAGATAAAATTTATTTATTTAAACAATAATGAAATTAATAAAGCAGTTGTAAGAATCCAATAAAAAAGGTTTGTTACAGTAGGCCAACTTTGGTTTTTTCGCTTTGATGCGTTGAGTACACCTTCCAACGATGAGTCTAAAGTAGTTCAATGCATGATGAGTCTGTAGGTCGTAGATAATATGTGCTGCTGTTATCTTTAATATCCAGGCTAAAATAGAGAGGTAACAAAATACAGTACTGTGCATACAAAAAACTACGGAATACCGTTACCAACAGCATCCGTAAAAAGAAAAAGTATTTCACATCAGCCATTGAAGCTAACAAAGGTGACTTCCATGCTGTGAAAGTGAAATTTTATTGGTGAACGTAAACAGTGTATGCCTAAATACAGTTAAATATAGAGCATCACTATGTGTTATCATTTTCTGGAATAACAAATAATTAAAACAGCGGGATATTACATAGGTCTACTGGCAATATTGTAGCCTTAGGAACAAAACTTATAATTAAGAGGATAAAAGTAAAAATCATAACACAATCATTGTCTTAAATGACAGGTATGGATAGGATTATTTCAGGCCTTATAATTCAAAAGGCAAGGGCTACAATGTTTAGAACGTTTCCTAAGCTTATAATACTAAAGTGAATTAAACTACATTTAAACATTAACAGGTCTATTGTAAATCTTAACTGTAAAGTACAGTTATCATTACTTTTCAAACCAATAAAACAAACTATATTATTTTAACTTAATAACTAATTATATCGGACACTATATAAAATAGTACAAATCAATACAACATGTATCTAATGCAATGCTGTGTTAACACTTATAAATGTAATTATAAAACAAGGAATAATTGCTATTAAAAACTCCCATATAATAGAGAGCTAATATCCAATAATAAACTCTGTCAAACGTTTAAGTGAACTTTCACTTATTTAAAATATAACAGGATACTGTATATATTACTGTACACAGTTTAGTGTTTTTTGTTCAGCTGAAGTAGCCACAGTACATAACTTGTAAGCAACAGTACTTTGTAAAAACATTGAAGTTGTAAATCAGCAATTTGAAACGACCAGCGCTTCCGATTGTAAGAGTTTTATTGTTCGCTAATTATTCTTTATCTGAGCTACTGCAACATTGTATGGGCAAATACATACCATTCAAACCTAAATAAGCTTCAAATTATTCAAATAAGGCTATCAGGATTATATCTGGCTATTAACCGCAGTTTCATTCCTCTACTTTATTCCTCTAATTTAAATATCCTCAAACTTCCTGACATGACCTCTGTTCAACAAGGTATTTTCATGCATGCATCATCTTACTCCATTTTACCAAAGTATTTCTGTGACATTTTCAAATTCAATTCCTCTCCCCACAATTACCGTACTCGCGCGAATAAGTGCCCCGTTTGAATAAGCGCCCCTATCGAATAAGCGCCGTGAAAGCGCCGTTTGAATAAGCGTCCCTATCGAATAAGCGCCGTGAAAAAACGTGAAAATTTCCGTAAGCGCCCCGTTTGAATAATCCAATCAATCCTGGGACTGTGGATGTTGGCATGATTTGAGGTGTGGAGTGGAATCACATTCTACCTTAGTCAATACCAAAATGAGGATATTTATCTTGGACAGATGAGCTCCCTGAACAGACAGTATTTTCAACTTTCATCTTCTTACATTTGTCTATAGCCTAGTCCTACTCCTTTTAAGACAATCTGCACCCTTAACACATTCTCATCTAAGTTTTCAAGAAAACCTGCAATAATCATGCCGTCCTGCTATTCTCAATCGACCGATGGCCAACAAGCTAACCACCACCACTAATTTCATTTGATATTCTGCTGTTATACGTAATACTGTATACTCACAACATTCTTGTCATGACAAGCATGCTCTCTGGACGATTCTTTTCCGCCGCACCACCATTCGTAATTTACGGTTTCCTGATGTCCTTATATAATCGTTTTTCATTCAAAATGTGCCTCTTGAATTTAATAAGTTTTCATAAGAACCCCTCGATTTTCATCTATTTCCATAAGCGCCCCCTAAATTTCCACTCTGTTTTCATAAGCGCCCCGTTCGAATAAGCGCCCCGTTTAAATAAGCGCCCCCCAAAAAGTGCAAAAAATATTTTAAGCGCCCGGGCGCTTTTTTGCGCGAGTACGGTATTGCACTCGAGGTAGATCTGATGCTTACTTTTGGCAATCATAAGACAAATTATTTCCAACATATTAGGTTTACTGGCCCTAACTATGGAATTCCTTACCTCCCCTAGTTGCCAATGCCATTAATGAAAGATCATTTTCAATCCACCTAAAGAAACACCTTACACCTTCTAGTTATTAAACTTCAGTAAATATCGTCCTTATAATCCCTCTTGTTTTTTCACTTTAATTATGCTTGGTTTCTTGGTCTAATTTGAATTGTTTGCTTTCTTTTTCGGTTGTGTCTTCTTCGTCCTGTTTTGTCCATGTCCTCTTTCTTTCTGTCTGTTTTTGTGTCCCCTTTTGTCGTATTATTTCAGGCTGACCCCCCCCCACAAGAGCCTTTCTTACCTTTTCTTTTCCTCGAATTGTTATGATTACAAGAGTCTTTCTTACCTTTTCTTTTCCCCGAATTATGATTCTGTATTTTATTTCTGTTTGTATTTGAACTGGAAAAGGAATCAAATAAATGTTACTTTGAATTGAATTGAATTGAATGGTTCATTTCAGCTCCTGTCTGTGTGGAATGATGTAAACATGAAGATAATATAAGCGCCTCTTTACGGTTGCTAGTTAGTCACGGACCACACCCATACGCAATTCAGAATATGGCGCTGCGAGTTATGGGTTATTCTAATACTATTACTTTTTTATTTCCTTTCTCCAAAGATTTAGCTTGTTAGAATTTGTTTCCAATTTCATTTGTTTGTTTAGATTGTCGTTTGTGTTAAGTATGTTCTCATTGAGGTTAGAGGTTAAATTCCCTGGCGTCCTTTATAGTCTAGATAGAAAAAAATTTAGTACCTGTAAATATTTAAGAATATTTATAATGTCCAAAGGGGAGAGTTAAAAAAATCTGTGCAAAGACACCGTGTAGAAGAATAAAAGAAACTAGAAGTTCAGTTTGTAAAAAGGGACATAGGATTTTTCATCATTGGCATATCAGAACTGGTATTGAAATTATAAAGTAAAAACCAATAAAAAAGTAGGAAGAACAAATTACATGAAAAAACAACTTAGACCAGGCTATAATTGAGATAGGTGCCACTTGGAGAGGTGGAAATTCTCATATGGTTTTTCTAGACCAGTTTTTTTATGGGGAATCAGAATATGTGAGGTAAATGGGCTGTAACCTCAGAACTTTCATGTGAGGTCGCTTTTTTCAAATTGGCCACCAAAATCCAACAATATACATATAATGGGCAAAATAAGCACATAAGAGGTACAGTAGGTTTGACCAAATTTTGAATATGTAATGATAAGAGTAAGGTATAACTTATTAAAATAGTACCTATCTCAATTATAGCCTGGTCTAACTAGACTCTACCAAGACTTGAACTAGGGATGCAGAGTATTGTTGAGAATGAAATGTATTACACTATAGGGCTCGAGAATGCCGCAGTGGATATCAGTAGATTTTGAGTTTATCGACCTTGCATAAACTTTGAGTGCAAAGGTTTTATGCCTACATTATGCATACAAATAAATATATAAATAAATAAATAGTAGAAGCTGTTATTTATGTAATGTTTATAAACAAATAAATTCTATAATCTTCACAGGTAAAGAGCATAGAAAAATGCTTACTAACAAAAATATATATCTCCAACAGAATTTTCAATGACTATGTATACTTTAGATCAAGGCAGGCTATATAAGGTGTTTGCCACTTTGTCGTCCTACATCCGAGATAAACGGAAAAGTCTGATTCAACATATAGTATATTTCACCCTACTACCATATCAAATGATTTCAAAAGAAAAAAAATCGAAGTATTCTAGTGATTATACCTCAGACGAAACAGACTGGGTTACTGCGTAGCTAGTGAGCATGACTCAAATTAAAGCCCTTACGGGCCTACATTAAACAACAAATGAATGAATTTCCAAAATCTTTAGCGAAGACAATTGAAATGCATGTAAACGGTAATTTTTGTTTCATATAAGCACAAAAAAGGGGAAGAAAATTTCCATCTATTTTTGGAAAATAATATAAATCATTGTGAACTTTCAAAAATCAATTTATCAAAACGTGTTTCAGTATAGAGTTAAAGGTTTACCTGAGATATGATACTGGTAGATACTTATTTTCATCATATCGTGAAAATTTGAACTAGAATGGCATCTGGTGGGAGATATAATTTTCCCTTTAGTTAATCGTAGTTGGCTAGTTAAGGCATGAAACTAAACTGCATCCAGTTTGGCTGCCGGCGACTAGATACCTTACCTCTTAGTTGGGATACGCTCACCTCGTAAAACCAGACGGTATCGATAGTCAGCCAGCAGCAATAACAGTAGCTGAGCATCAGTGGCGTAACGATTTGGCCGGGGGCCCTGTGTATTTCTGGAACTGGGGGCCCTTTTTGGATCCCGGTCACCAATTTCATCGTGGGATTTTAGATGTGCATTGTTATTCTAAATGTTTTTAACGACAAATAAATTATATAATATGGAGGGACTTTCACAGACATAAATTTGTGAATATAATTTTCTTTTTATCTCCAGTTAACAAATATTTTTGACAAATTTAGTGGGGCCCCAGGCGGGCAGCTCCCCCCCCCCCCCACAACTCTTAATTCCACCACTGGATATAATATATGTCCTACAGTCGATTTCAGACACAAATGATGTTGTTGCCCTTGTGAGGCTGAGATAAGAAAATGTATTATCATGGTACGTCTAGATGGTCGGAAATGACACTCACAGACTTAAAATTGTGAATATATTTTTTTATCTGCATTTTACATTTTTTCACAAATTTGGTGGGGTCCCGGAACAAGAGGGGCCCCGTCGGGCCCTCCCTTTAATCGTTATAATATGACATATGCCCCAAAGTAGATTTCAGAGACACATTATGGTGCTATTTATCAACAAGTCCTTTTTGGTCAGGGTGCTAGATCGAGAAACTTATGTGTAGGGCCTTCGGGGCCCCTAGAATTTGGGGCCCTGCGGACCGCCGCATGAGAGCGCATAGGCGTTACGCCACTGCTGAGCATAGAACGGAAGAGCCTCGAAGCAAACATCAATTTAGCAGTAGATTTAGCTTTTAATAAGTACCTGCTGGTATGGTTTGATTGGTATAGTAAGCTTCTTTTTTTTTTCATAAATTCTGATATAGATGCAGATATACACTACCATACGTAAACCATTCGGTACAAAAACAAAAACTGCATCCGGTCAGGCCACCGGCGACTAGATACCTATTAGGTAGGATACCTTCACCATTAAAACGAGACGGTGTCGAGAGTCACCCAGCAGCAATAACTGTAGCTGAGCATGGAGCGGATGAGCCTCAAATCTAAGAGCAATTTAGCAGGAGGCTCATCTTTTAACGCTTACCTGTCGTATGGTTTGTTTTGTATATTAAGCTTTTTCCGATAAATTCTGATGTAGATGTACTGTATACACTATTATACGTAAACCATTCGGTAAAAATAAAAAAATATATATGCGTTCCAACTGATGGCATATACTACATAGAAAATGATATCTAAATGGATTTTGTTGACTCTGGATGAAATGTGTTAACTCTGGATGGAATGTTCACTCCAAACAGTACCCAAAGAGTGACATTCACTGCAAAAAAGTTCGTTTTCACTATTTTAGGTTGAGTATATCGCCACCTGGTTTGACCTATATTCGCGCAAAGGCAAACAAAGTTATCAATGTCAGTGAAAATTCTTTTAATCAACTCAGTTCTTGAACTGGATAACAAGATTTGTTTTTTGTTTCTTTGTTTTTTCACCTTGACCGTTTCTGTTTGATTAAATAGTTCAAAATTGTCTACATTGTTAGTAAGATTAGCCTCTTCTTTGCAGAGCAGAGTTGATTTTGTTTCACTGAGAATTTTCATAATTCTACTTGCAATCCTAATTATTGGAACAGGTTTAGAGCAATCATCAAGTGTCCTTTATTAAACTAGGAATTCTAGAAAGTTCAGATGCATTGATCAGTTGTGATAATTAGTAATAGGCCTGATATTAAAAATATTTAGGTTACACTCACCTGTCATTGTGAAGACACCGAGTAATAGACCAATATTTCTCCCTGCAAGCATCACCTCATCCGTGGAAGATGTACCTTTAGTTTTTTTTGAGGCGTACAAGCCAATTGCCAAGATGATGATATAGAAGAAAACGACACAAATAAGGCCTCCCCAATTCACCGCCATCATTACGACAATATTTTGCTAGCAGTGCAATTTTATTCCCTGAATTCGACCTCAAGGTAAGCTTCCTCATGGGCTAACGGTACACTGTGGGTGATCAGTCAAGCGCGTAACGGATTTGGAACAGTTCATTTGTAATTTAGGGGGTTCCACAACTACAAATTAAACGCCATATCATTTTCATATGGACTTTTAAATTTTTATTCTAAACAACATACATAATTATCTAAATACCATTCACAGTTTTATTTTTATTCTCAAAAGAAGACATATTCTACCGCTTTACAGTCTTCACCACTCATATGTACGTATTCATGTACACATAAGAAAATGGAATCGACCATCTCAAACCAGTGAACCGTTCGAAAAAATGGGGTGTTTTACAAAAACTGGCATTTATATACTGCTGGTACTAAAAATCTATACGTTTTTACTGCATATAACTTACATCATTTCAATCTCTATCCTTTTCTTTTGCCTATGATCATAATTTTAGTGTTTAAAAATAAGGATAATTTAGTCATTTTATCTGTTTTTCCAGAGTATATTTCAAGCTCTGCATCCACGTGAGCGTCAGACTGCCATATGCTTGTAATGCTTAAGCATGTGGTGAGGAGTTTTGGATGATTCTCATAAATCTGATTGGTCCGATAAAACTACTCAACCGATCAATCTTATATTTAGAATACATTTAGAAGACAAAAAGGGCTTTCGAATGGACCTTTCCCAAAAGAAATCGGCCCACAACTTTCGACTGTAGAGGGATTTATGTTAAAGACAGCTGGGATATTTCGGCAGATTTCACTGTTTCTACGCTGAAAAAATACACGAGTGGGTTTGATAAAAATCAAAAGTCCGATAAAGGTGTTAACATTACACTTATAAATTTGTAATTGTTGTAATGATTATTAAATTCCGATCAGTTTTATCTTTTCCCAAAAAAAATCGATGAAGTATTTGCGAAGTTATTACAAAAAGAAGTTGAAAAATGACCAAATTTAGTGGTTTTTGGCGACCTTCACTGCCGTTTTGTCTAATTTAGACACGAAATATTGTCGTAATGTTTTTAAAATTTTTTTAGAAAAATATCCTTGATTTGACTGGAAAAAGATTCCTAATTAAAGGTGGATTGTGCGTTTTGTATGTCGTGTTTAATCTCGTTTATACATGCTGAACTCTCACACAACATCAGCTTTAAATATTATTCAATTAGTCAATTAACCTACTTTTTTGTGATTGGACAAACTTGCTTTTTGTCATTAAATTGGCTACATGTACATGCTTCCTTTATCATTTATCATGCAAATGACCTGACGATTGATGGGTAAACAAGCAAATTGAAAAATATTGAAAAATGTATCACAGTATGAATTACCGTGCGAATAAGCGCCAGGGCGCTTAAAATATTTTTGCACTTTTTGAGGACGCTTATTCAAACGGGGCGCTTATTCGAACGGCGCGCTTATAAAAACAGAGTGAAAATTGAGGGGGCGCTTATGGAAATAGATGAAAATCGAGGGGTTCTTATGAGAACTTATTAAATCCAAGAGGCACATTTTGAATGAAAAACGATTAAATAAGGACATCAGGAAACCGCAAATTACGAATGGTGCTGCGGCGGAAAAGATAATCGTCCAGAGAACATATGGCTTGTCATGACAAGAATGTTGTGAGTACAGTATTACATAACAGCAGAATAGCAGATGAAATTGTGGTGGTAGTTAGCTTGTTCGCCATCGGTCGATTGAGAATAGCAGGACGGCATGATCATTGCAGGTTTTCTTGAAAACTTAGATGAGAATGTGTTAAAGGTGCAAATTGTCGGAAAAGGAGTAATAGGACTAGGCTATAGACAAATGAAAGAAGATGAAAGTTGGAAATATACTGTCTGTCCAGGGAGCTCTCATCATTCTGTCAAAGATAAATATCCTCACTTTGATAATGACTAAAGGAGAATGTGATTCCACTCCACACCTCAAATCATGCCAATATCCACAGTCCCAGGATTGATTGGGTTATTGAGAGGGCGTTTATTAAAATTTAAAACGGGGCGCGTAAGGAAATTTTCTCGTTATGAGGAGCGCTTATTCAACAGGGGCGCTTATTCAAACGGGGCGCTTATTCACGCGAGTACGGTATAGCAATGAGACATTAATTGTAGAGTTTAAAAACTTTGGTTTAATAGTCACTGACACCACGAAGAGACACACTTAAAAGAATAACGCCTTGAAGTGAACTACTTTATAAAACCGCAAATTCCACTATCACGATATGCAATTTAAATATTTCTTTACACATGTTTAAGGTATGACATTAGACTACCACAGAGAGAGGGATCGTTAGAAACCAACATAAAACACAATCACAAGTGTTTCCCTCATTCATAATTCATAATTTTATTTCCTCACATATGATGGTAGTTAACAAAGGGAGATATTCCCTGTACAAGTGTCAACTACCAAAGCATAGAATAATAATAATATAACAATAATAACAGCAACAACAACAACAACAACAACAACAATAACAATAATAACGACAACAACAACAACAATAATAATAATAATAATAATAATAATAATAATAATAATAATAATAATAATAATAATAATAATACAATAATAATCATACATACACGAGGTCTTTATTCCACCATTCTATTCTACATTCACTTCTTCTGTTTTTACATCCCGCGACCTCACAGAGTGCGCTATACATATTATATCCCTTTAAATATCCCCGGGCCCTTTACTATGGAAAACAAACAATTAGTAAACCATAAACCAACTATTAACTCCGAATGTAGACCATGAGTTAAAAATTGAACGTTATGCCATAAAAAATATATACGGGGAAGCACAATCCTCCTGGATTTGAGCAGCGCAACCAACTAAGGTCAGATAACACTATCCATATATAGGGAGACTAAGCCTTAGTTTATGTATGTTTGTCTTGTGAATGGTATTATCGCCTATTAGTAGGGTACAGGTAGTAATTAATTGTCTATCGGCCCATGTGCATGAATAATAAATAAAACAGTCAATAACTTATCAAATTTCCACATGTAAACATTAGCGTAACTAAATGCTAATTTTATGCGAATTGCAATCCCATCGATTTGTAAGTAATGATGTATGTTTGTCTTTTATACAGGAATGCCACCTATGAGCAATCTTTGACCAATACCTAAATAATGAATAATAATAAACAAAACTGCAATAGAACCCCTATTTGGGGCCAAACAAGTGTCCCCTTAATTGGGCTGTCCCACTAACTAAAAACGTGAAATTGTCCCATTTATAGGGGTTTTAGGCATGTTTTCGTACAATGATGACATATATTCTTTATAACATTATTTTAATTGACCTAAGAATGAGTTACATTTGAATATAATTAATTTATAACAGTAATATGCAATGCAAACAAATAATCAATTTTTGATATGAAATCAACAATAATTAAAACTACAAAAGTTGTATAGTATGTTCCCGATATTTTTTCTTGATTCGACTGCAATGTAAATATTAATATTGAACTTTCTATTGGATTCACAAAATAGAATAGCATGGATAGAGTAATGAAGGTTGTAAGGTAAGATTAGAATCCTATAAGCAAGTATTCTTTAGTTAAAAGTCAAAATTGAAAAGATTGTATTTATACGAAGTAACACATGCACTAGCCATATACAAATGTCCATTCTAATGTTTGAGAGGAAAAACTCTGGTTTGATGTTTATTGCTCAAAGTGACAAAATATAAATTGATTGAATGATTTCTTTTTATTTTGAGACTACTGTACTGAACTTGTTTGATACAATAAAAAAGTGTTAATAGAATTAAATTGTATTGATTTGTCCATTTTGCACATTCTGAAAGTATCCCGTCTCCTTAATAGGGCTTAGCCGTTTCAAAGATATATTTCCCCTCGTCTTATGGAAAAGTGTCCTCTTAATAGGGATGTGCCAAAGAAGGGGATCTACTGTATAACTTTTCCTCAAGTTCCCACATGAAAACATTTACATAACTGGGGACCATTGTTATGCCCATCGCATTCCCTCTGCTGATCGGTATAAAGTAATGATTGAATTCTATGTTGGCATTATGTTGCCAGCAGGTTGAGTTAGTCCTTGATCATCCTGTAGACATATAGGCCTACCAGTGTATACGCTGTTGCATCCATGCCTAATCAATTTTGAGCGCTGAGAGGTCATGTTGGCATGAAGCTCTATAATATAAGTCTAATATGGACCTATTATTATCATATTCCAATACCGGTAGTTGTTCAGCTAATTCTACAATTTCTTAAACGATGGGTCTCCTGGCGGTGAAACTTTTAGTTAGGAGTGTATAAACGACAGAATGATTGCTAGATTCAATTTGAATATTTTCGAGGTGCAGATGTGTTTCCTTAATAGGATTGGGAAGACTGTAAAGTAAATAATAAGCAATAAATAGTGATTGGACAGTCAATTTCATGTTTTCCAACATCACCTTATTCATAAAGTGTGTGGGTCGAAAGTGAGAAATTAAACCTATACGTGAAAGTGTCACCAACTCAATTAATTTATTTGATAGTGTCTAAAATCGTGATGGTCCCCAATTTTGTCAGCGGAGTTATAACGATGTTAGCGTTCCGGCGGCAAACTTTGTGTATTGAGTGTTAAAGTTGTTCTTATGATTATTATTGATATGAAGGTATCCATGTGCTACGTTTTGGAATAATTAATCCTGACTGAGTATCTGATGCGGCATTTTCTTGCACAATAATAGAGAGAGGAACATGTCGGTAGCATATGTATTTTTTGGGCAGTAGACCTATGCCTTTCTTCAGTACAGAGATTTGGTACTTATAATATTTGTAGGAAGACACGTTAACGAAATAATTGGAGTCTGAACGAGTTGTTTTAGTGATGTACGACTGAAAACAGTTGAATAATCAATTTTTATCTTTGCATAATATATTAAATGTCGAAGAAGTGGATCTGCTCTGGCAAGTTTCTTGATTCTCTTGATTTTTTTTATAGGCATGAATGGTCTTCTTTCTAATAGTTCTGAGAAAAGATTTGACTTTGTTTAATAATAATAATAATGGAAATAAAAATGATAATGGTAATAATGATAATAATTTTTTATATATATTGCGTGTTTTCCAATTAAATATGTCAATATTTTAAGTCACCAAAAGTTTTATCAAAACATATGATTTTAGAATATATAAGAACATTAACGGCGAATGGCGCAGTATAACTACCCATAGTCGTTCTATAGTCATAGTCAAACACCTTCTTGTATGTTTGGCCAAGAAGGGATATTCCTGCCATTTGTTTCTACGGTTCAAACCCACAAAGGGAGGGTTTTAAATGGAGTAATGTCACTCGGTAATTATATCTAATATATTTCAAACATTTAAAAATGGACCAAAAACGAAAATTAAATTTAAGGTAATATAATTAATTTGTTAGAAAACAAGTATATCATCACGCAATTAGGAATATTATGAGAAAATAAAAATATTATTTTCAGTATTTTATATTTATTATTCTTATTTATTATTATTTGAACATTATACATTTAAATTGAAATAATATTGCTATCATAATAATGATAAGAATAATTATAATGATAATAGTGATGATAATGACAAAAATAACTAAGAGTGTATAAATCCCCTCACCATATAGTAGTATTCTTTGAGGCGTTCGATGTATGTCTCTTCACAAAGTAGTGTCGACACTAGGATTTTCTACCAAGATACAAGTGATATAAAATTACGTTAACCATTATTGATAGTTTGTTTATCATGATGATCTCACTTCAGTAGTGGTGCTTTCAATGTATATATACTGTCTCTTATACACATCTATATATATATATATATATATATATACATATATATATATATAAGTATGTATATATATAAGTATGTATATATAACATCAACTTATTAATGTCATTATTAATAATGCGACGTATATTTATCATCTTTCATAAATATTTATAGCAGTTTCTGAATAAAAAATTGGAACTAGTAAAACAATTGTCGAGAAAAAGAGGGTCTGTATTTTGCTTCTGTAGATATGTAAACGTCAAAGAATTAAAAGTGTACTTATTGCCTTCATTGTCTTTTTTTCTTATTCCAAACAGACAAAGTTCACTATCTCCAATAATAATAAGTTTGGTAAGAGATTTAATGCAAGATAAAACTTCTTTCAAAACTCTCGAGATAATACCACATTTACCAAAAATGTATTTAATAATTTCTTCTTCATAATGGCAAAATGTACAAAATTGACTATAGGAGTTTACTCCAAGGATTCTGTGTATGATCCGATATTGTAGCCATCTTAAAGTATTGTCTTTAGTTGAGTCAAACGCCGAAAGGTTCTTTTTGACCACATATTGATTGCTTTTTTTTTAATTGAATTAAGAATTTTATCATAGTTGATATCAACCATAGCACTTCGTGGTTGAGTAAATTGGACACCCAGAATATTGATCAAAAAACAAAAAAAGAAAATATCAGAAAAAAACTTTATTTTAATGATAAAGGAAACCACTATAAATCACGTTGGAGTGCTGAATATCAAAAGTATTGTTTACTTAAAGATAAATAAGAATATGATATTTAAATTAAATATTAAATTAATATTTACCATCCAATCTGTCAGCAACATGTACATATTTTATTTTTAAGGTATCTTCTACCTCGCGTTGGATGTTCACCACACACTTGAAAACATCCCATTTCTTATCCAGAATTTCTTTGGTGAAAATATATTGAAACAGACGGGAAACCAGAATCAGTATCATGAAAGAGATGAGCATTGCAAATGTACGGAACGGAAATAGCTGCTCACCGTTGTCAAAAAACGGATATTCTATAAACGGTTCAAGTTTCAATAGTTGTTCGCCGCCGCCAAGTCGCAATATCAGGCCAATGATGTAGGCGGAAAGTGAGCCGTAAGTGTTGGTAAAATCTATGTAAACGACGGAGACTAATTGCGGAAATAGGATGACGTATACAAAATCAGTGCACAGATAAAAAAGACCGTATATAGAGTCGACGGTAATTGCTAGTGTGATGGAAATGGCTCCAAAGACGATAATTGAAATTCGCATCACCCAAATGACTTCTTTTTCAGATGCCTATAAATATATAAAATCGTTAAATTCCTGATTTTATCTCGATACGATATATAACAATGATGATTATAAGATTGTGACATTTGTACGTCATTGTTTTATTTGTTGGCTATTATCAGGAATTAGAAAATTCTCATGTATTTTGTTTTGAAGTGGAATTATAGGTTAATGTAGTCTCTTTCGAATCTCAAGTTTACGTGTTCAAGCCTTGTCAATTGTAAAAGAGTTTGTTATATGCAATATAAAACGAATTGACTTCCCAAGTCCCAAGCCTCCTCATAACGAGACTAGCTGATACAAAGTATCTTGTGTATATAAATGTTCATGTATTTCACGGTAATTTTGAGTTTACCATAGCTGCCTTTAGTTTGTAACGCTTTAGAAAGTGAAATAAAAAATGTTGATACAGCAAATATGAATGGCATTCTCAGACTTAAATTTTAATAAAATGTTCTTTTTTTCAATTATTCTTTTATATTCTATATATTTTTTTTAATTTAGGGGCGAGCGCTGGCCTACTGGCAATGGTCCCAACCCCTTTGAATCAGTAACTGATTATCGTCCCTTTACTCCAAAGTGGGAAAATGAGACTTTTAATATTTTATCAGTATCATTTAGTGTTTGTTAGAATGAGAAGAATTTACAAATTTACAAAAAAAGTTACATAATTGATTAATTAAAATATCTACATTTTGTTTTATCAGATGTTTGTATATATTTCGAGAAAACATGGAACTAATAGAGAGGATGGTTGAATCGGCTGACGACATAACAGCAGCACAGACCGCTCCAAGACCGATGATCGAGACAAACTTAGGTGTTAGGTATTGTAAGACTAGTGGTAGAACAATATTACTGTCTGTAATTTCCTGTTTGTATTCTGTGGCAGTCCAATCTTAAAAAGGAAAGGTAAAATTAATACACCTTTTTGAATTATTAATCCGCAATTGCACGTTTTCAGATTATAATTATATTATTTGAATAGTTATATTTCAGAGCATAATGTTATTATTACTCACTAGTGCTTGTTGCAATAGTTCCGATGATGAATGAAGGTATTGTCATGATAAGACAGCCAATGGCACCAGCATAAGACATAATTTGTGCATTCCGCACACTCTTTGCAGACAGCACGCGCTGGAAGTACTCCTGCCATGGCAAGCCTCCTAAAAGCTGGGAATCAATTTTAGTTAAATTATTAATATCATCGTCAACGTCATGTCAGCGTCATAATTGTTATTATCGTTATCATCATTTATTATTATTAATTATATTATTTTTATTATATTATTGTTAATAACGTAATGAATAAAATATATTATCATACCAATTGTAATATATAGTCACACCATACACCAGCGTATCGATTATCCCATGTACCTCGCCAAGTGGAACTCGTCTCGACAATACTGGTGACGTGTTCGTTTGTGAATGCAAATGGAATCGCCAACCACTGTCAATATGTAAATAATGCTCATTCAATAACTTTTATAACAAAGTTTAAAAACACAAACATCCAACTCCCTAGTCGCTACGGTTATTTGAATAATGTTCTTGTTTCCGTACACCAACTCAAAGTTCCCGCCCACACCCATTCGCATTCTGCCCAGACACCAACAAAAACACACACGCTATTAATTTAATCAATCAGCTAAAAACCCGTTTTACACTAATTGAACGCAACATTGATCTCTGGTACTTCTTTGGGTATTCTTGGAATAGTCTATTTGGAACACAAACTTTAGTACCAGTAATTATCTATTATCTATATAATCTATTAGTGACTCATGCTGTAATAGTAACCAACCTTAAAAGGTTTATTTAATACTGACCAAGTGTTTTTACTATTTTTTTAGTGTGGGGGCGTGCGGGGAGTAGTCATAAATTTCAACTTAATGTAACTTACCAAGCCAAAGAATAGACAGACCAACTGGACAACATCAGTGTACGCCACTGAATAAAGACCTCCAAATAATGTATAGGACATTGCTATACAGGCCGAGACGATGATGGCTATATTTGATTCTATATCCAAAATTACACTGAAAGTGTAGCCTGTAATATATAATCTAAAACAATCAGGGTATTACACAAAATTAAAATAAAAGTCAGTTACGAGTTTATATTGTCTTGAAAACTGCTCTGAACCGTGGAAATCTCCCATCGCTGCCTCTCCTTGTGTTTCAGCTAGAGGGCTGAAATAAAGGTTACAATAGCGCACCGTCTTTCGGATGAGACGTTTCCGTAAGTCCCTTGTGCATTTATGGCCCATGTGCACTTTAAAGAACGCAGTACACTCTTCGGAAGTGCAGGGGATTGTCTCCCGGTGTACCACCAGAAGGATTCCACTGAAAGTAAGTATTCTTCAAGACTTTCGTGGGTTATCCTAGGTGTTTGCACCGAATAAATCCAATTTAAACCAATCCAAAGTTGACCTTACATTTGAAGTAGAGTGAAAGAAACATTGAAAGCTTGAACATTTTTGTACACAGAGAGCATCGTCACGTGAACTCCGACCTAGGCTAGAGTAGAGAGTCATATAAACAACGTTCTTCTGACTCATTAGTCATTTTACTTTAAAAAAAAGAACATATTATTCTATAATTCAGCAATTTAAGTTTGACCAATAGTTTAAATATTTCATACACAAATTATTAAGCTGAATGTGTACCTCTAAATCAACAACCCCAAACGATGGGTCTAGGCCCCTGAGAAGCCCTCTCAAACTCTTCATATTTTTGGTTTGAATATTCTTTGCTTTATAACCTTAAGGAAGAAGAGCATTATAAATGCCCATACAAGTACCAGTACCTACCTAGAGCTGTAAGAATAGCACTACAGTAGAATATCTCTCCACATAGAGCGACTAGAAACAGGAGTCCACCCATTCCTCGGCCAAACTTTATCTGGAAAGGGTCCAACAGGGTTACATAACCTTGCTCTCGCATTGTCTTTGCAAAGAAAAGTCCATCTTAAAAGAAACAGGAGGTAATACAGTTTTTTTTTATATTTAAGTATGGGCAATTGTTTGCAATTGACCATAAAGAGCGAAAGTTGTTTATCAGTGGATATTATTTTTTATGACGGTTAAATAATATTTTGCGAGGGTCCATAAGAACCATAAAAAATGGCCCACTGTGCTGCTCAGTGTATGTTTTTTTCTAAAGTGTTTGGGGGCTCAGGAGTTTATCAATATTTCCAAATTACCTAGTTTTTAGCTACAAATTCAAGATGGCCACACATTTTCTGGTCTTTGGATTAATTTAAAGTTATTCAAGTCTTCTTAGTCGCTAATATTATCTATGATTATGTTGTGTTGAGTTGAGTGATAGACAGTAAAGCTACAATGACAATTAAAAAGATTCCATGTCTTAGGTCATATCAACATTTATAGATAATGAGGAAGTTTTTAAATGTATTTGTTAAAAAATTTACGTACGATTATACTTGCGAGGGGCCCTTCATAACTTTAACTATACTGTACTGACATTTAACATTTTAAAAATATTGACCAATTTAAAGGTCACTGCAGACTTGTTAAAAGAGTACAAACGCCTTCATGAAGTGACAATGTTTATCCTGTGGGAAATGTACAATCATGGTATGTGAAGGACCTGCTCATAAATGAGTTTCAAGAGACAATTGGTTGCAAAAGCCAAGGGCCAGATGAACCTCTGGGTTTTACCAGCAATCAGTAACAAATTATAGAGTATTACAGTGTTACGTCACGATACCACGTGATACTCATAAATGAAGATACACGCATACGCCAACTGTTAACAGTTTTCAAAATCAGTGTCTATATTTCTGGAATAAAATTCAGGTAATCCGAATTTTTTAATACAATCGATCGATATAGGCCTAACCAACTTACCTATGTGATTGCACTAAACGTTGTCATTAACGGATTTATCAAAAGGAAATTGTAATATTAACAATCATAATCATAGGCCTCAGCTAGCGTCTATCAACAAGAAACATAGGCAACCGTATACAGGGTGAGTACCCATACCATTAGTCCGTTGAGCAATCAAAACCACGGTAGCACCTATTGTTTACTGTTGGCATGGCAACAATTCAACAGGATAGCGCTAACAAAGAGATCGTCACTGTTGCGGGACAAGACACTTCACAAACAGCAAATAAATCGAAATGTTATTACGAAAACTGTACAAATACCAAAGGCGCGACGGTTAAGTGCAGCAACTGTCTTATGGATTACCACTTAATTTGTGTCAAGTTGAAAAAACGGCCCAAAACTACCACATGCTTTGTAATTTCTGTTCGACAGACTTAAAATATATTGTTCAAGAACTCAAATCACAACTGGATGTTATGAACACCACGGTAAAAAAGATGGCTACCGAAAACATAAACATATCTAAGCGCCAGGCAACACTATTGAGAAAGAAAACAAAAATCTGAAAACCTCTGTCAAAGAACTCAACGAAAAAGTTAAAGATCTAATTTCAGATATGCAGAGAATAAATAGATATACTTCATCTAGTGTCACTAAAAAAACACTAATTATAGGTGATTCTATTTTGAGAGATATACAGGAATCGTGGTTCCAGCAAACCGATGTGATTGTTAAAAGAGGAAGCATTATAGAAGATATTTTTGAAACTCTCAATTCAACGTACTTAGATCAATATGCTGATATAATTGTTCATGTTGGCACAAACGACGTCGCTGACGCAACTGATATTGCGAACATAAGTTCATCAATTGAAAAACTGATAACGCTGGTAATGGTCAAGGCACCCACCACTAAATTGCATATTTCAGCAATCTCTCCTAGAAAAACACACATGACAGCAGTAACAGAAGCAAACATTATTCTTAGAGATTTGGTAAAGAGTCTTGACTGCTCCTTTTTAAATGTAAACCCAAAATGTGTGTATCAGAATGGATCAGTTGTGTGTAGTATGATGGATTGCATCTAAGTCATAAAGGAACAAAACTACTAGTTGAGTGTTTTGTCGAGGGTGTTGAATCCCTAAATTTAACAAATGAATTTGTTCAACATAGATCTTCAAACCTTAAAAAACAAAACAAAAAGCAACAAAGACGGAAAAACCAGCATCGTAGTGATAACATTGAGACCAGAAAATTTCGGCCACGAAATACTTCTTCTGCATATTATCAACAGAGTATGAGAGAAAGCAGACAAAGTCAAACATGTAAAAACTGTGGTCTATCAAACCATAATACAGCCAAATGCTACCACGAAAACCCAATCAGATGTAGAACATGTGGCAGGTTTGGTCATAAAGACAGATTTTGTAAACATAATAAACATTAGTCTAATAATAATAATTACTACCAAAAATTTAACAACCACTATGATGATTCATATGGTAATGAGCACTTATACTCACAATACCAAGAAAATTTTTATTCTGAAAATTGATTGCCCAATAATGATTGTAGGGAGACTAGCACGTTTTCAAGTAGTTCAAAATCTACTGAGGGCGTTAGTCAAAGTGGGTTGCCAAGGTACCATAAAGACATATACGAGCCTCTTAATAACAAATGTGGATTAGTCATTGCAAATTTGAATATATGTAGTATTACACATAAATTTGAAGAATTACAACACATTTTAAATCAAAACAATATTGATGTTATAGGACTATGTGAAACCTTTCTCAATAGTACTATAACCAACCAAGAAATTAATATAGATGATTATTCTTTATATCGGAAAGACCGATGTAAATCGTCCAAACATAAAACGGATAGAAGAGGAGGTGTGGCCTTCTATACATCAAATAATATTAACCACAAAATTCGAAATGATCTTATGCCAGATCATTTAGAACTAATCACTATTGAATTAAAAAGGGAAAATTGTAAACCATTAATCATTGTGCTATGGTATAGGCAGCCAGGGACATCGGTTGACCTATTTTTTTTACGTAAATGAGATTATTTCTAAAATTGAACATGAAAGTACAGAGTAGGCCTATATACTAATGGGGGATTTAAATTGTGATATAATGTCAACGAATCTCAGTTGTTACACAAACCAACTAAATGACTTATGTACAAATTATAATCTCAAACATGCAATCACTGAACCCACACGAATAACAAATAAAAATGCATCATTATTTGACATTATGGTACTTAGTAATCCAGAAAAGATGTCAGATAGTGGTGTCATTCATGTTGGAATGAGCGATCATTCAATGACGTATGTTATTTTGGGTAAAAAAACTAAATATAAAAATATGAATAATAGAAATAATAATAATAATAATAATAATAATAATAATAATAATAATAATAATAATAATAATAATAATAATAATAATAATAATAAAGCAAACCCACAAAAACACCGATATAAAACTACAAGATGTTTTAAAAAAATTCAATGAAAGCACTTTTCTATCTGACCTCTCATCAGTTGACTGGTATATTATATTAAACAATGGTGAGGTTAGTGATAGCGCAAAACGTTTTGAAAAAATTTTTGTGAGTATAATTAACAAAAACGCTCCTCTAAAAAAACGAAGGGTACGCAAAACAGCAGCACCATGGCTCACTGACGACAATATCGTCTTGATGCGTAAGCGTGATAACTTAAAGGCTCAGTATAATAAAACTAAAGACGAAACTATTTGGAATGAGTTTAAAACGTGTAAAAATAAATGTAATAAATGTATTCGTAAAAATAAAGTTGATCATGTAAAAAATGGCATAATGGAAAGTAATAACGATATGAGAAAAACTTGGAAGACTATCAAAAATGTCATTCCTAACAACAAGCGTAAACAATGTATAAAGGAAATCAAAGATGATGGAAATACTTATACAACTAATTATGACATAGCTAATGCAATCAATAAATATTTTTCTGAAATCGGTCCGACTCTCGCCAAAAAAAAAATGAAGAGTTTGTAAGTCATGAAACAATTGACTATTCTGAAGACTATGAAAAATATACAGATAAAACCTTTGATTTCCAACACATCTCAATTGAGTTTGTTTCCAATTACTTAAATAGCCTTCCAACGAACAAGGCAACGGGATATGATGAAATCCCCGCAATAATGCTTAAAATTGCATCTCCTATAATTGCGCCGGTAATTGCATATTTAATCAATCATTGTTTTACAACGTGTTCCTTCCCAGAAAATTGGAAAATTGCTAAAGTTCTCCCACTATTCAAAAAAGGAGGCACCTCAAATCCAGGCAATTATCGACCCATATCAGTCCTTCCTGTAATATCAAAAATTATCG